AGGCAATGGCCTTTGTCCTTCATCTCCTCCCCTACTCCTTAACTTAGGATAAAAATCTCCATCATGGAAAGATGCCCGCTTTCTGCAATGTCTGCACCCTCCGTGTTGGGATTTCTTGAGGAATCGTAGGTTTCTCTGAGCCACACACTGGAGCCTTTCACAGACTCTCCCGCCTTGCCTTGAAGTGGTATGCAAGAGACAAGGTAGTAGCAAAACTTGATCCAGTAAACTGCTAAGTTTGGTTTTTGGACGCGGTAAGCTTCAGAGGGGGCATACAAACCCAAGCAAAGGGGCAGGGAGCACAGAGGAGACATCCAGCTTGGACCCCGGCTCTAGCCGCAGTCTTTCCCTCACGGATCAAATCTGCCCGTGAAGGGGATGGGTTTTTCAGCAAGGCCTTCCACAGTTCTGAGTCTTGTCTGTTGGACTATTCTCCTCCTTCGACTGCCAACCCCCCACTTCAGTTCTGGAAGGAAATGGTTAAAAGGCTGTTGCCCTTCAGGGCCTGGGAGGCAGCTGGGAGGGGGCGGCAGCTTTGTGCTTTATAGTGTCTTCCTCCTGGGAGGGCTGGAAGGTTGGGACGTTCTTGCTGTCCCAGAGTGGAGGCGAAGGTCTGGGAGTGTTTCGAGGAGAAAGGGAGGACAGCCGGGAGGCGTGTTCCCCTGGAGTTTTCTTTTTCTTGCGAGCCTTCGCGCGCGCGCGCGCGTACAGTCATCCCTTTAGTCTGGCGATTGCGGACGGGCGGTGGAGAGGCTCCGTCCCACTCGGTGGCCGGAGGCTGGAGGCTCGGGAAGACCTCCCCGGAGGAGCCGTGCCCAGGAAGCTTTCCGAAGCGGAGGCAGCTGTGCTTCCCGGGCTGCCGCGGCGTGGGAGCCGGGGACAGCCACCACCCACCCTCGCCGGCTCCGCTTCCTCCCGCCCAGGCGCGGCGCGCGGACCCGGCAGCTGTTTGAGCCCGCCGAGCTCCACGGTCGGTGCAACTCTTTCCTCGGGGACCCGAGCGGGGGTGGGGGTGGGGGCGCTACCTGGGAGGACTGGCGAGCCGGGAGCGTTTTCGCCCGGCGCCCTGCAGCTTGGCGACCCTCCGCACAGGGGCTGGCACCCACCTGCCCGAGGGCGCGTGGCGGGGCGGGCGCCTCTGTGGGAAGGGCGCGCTCCGGAAACGTTTGGGGGTTGGGGGACTGATCGAAAGCCCCCAGCCTCCCCAGGCAGGATTAGGATTTTTAGTCAGAGGAAACCCAACGGTTTTCCTTGGTCTCCCTTTTCCCCCAAGCATGTAAGAACTTTGTGGAACATCACGCCCTCGTCGCTGGCTCCAAAGCCTACTTGCGAAGTTTGCTTCGCAGCCTTTTCTTACTCGCCTGCTTCTCCTCCTTGCACACCCGGGGTATGCCAAGGGTAGCCAAGGGCACTTGGTGTGAGGGACTGATGTGTTTTGGAAAACCCCCAGTGCAGCTAATTTGGAAACCTGCCTGTAGAGGTCTGGGCGTTGTGTTCTGCGCTCTCCTTTAAAGGGCACTTGTTGCCTTTCACGTGCAGAAAACAAGGGCTGTTTCTAGATAATCAGCCTCTGTTTACACCATCCTAATGGAGTTCCCGGATAGAGTAGCGGCGGAGGGGGTGGGGTGGGAGGCACATTAAAGTCAGTTGTCTGTAAGGAGAGTTGCTAGTTTCTTACCCAGCAAGCAGAACCCACAGAAGACTAATAAAAAGTTCCTAGTTTGTTTGGTTTTTTTTTTCTCTCCTCTAGTAGATATTCGTGGCCTCCTGCCCCCTCTGTGTTAACTAATTGAGAAACATCTTGGCAATCATTTCAGTAAATTACGTGCTCTAAATTTATGCCATTTTGGTAAGGTTGGAATTTCCAAATTACTAATTACAGGTGAACTTTAATCCTGAGAATCCAAGATGTTAAATGCTTGCAGTGTAAACCTAAGGATTCAGTCGTCTTCCTTAATAATAGCTTTAGAACTCCGTCAAATTCTTAGCCCCCAAATATGAAGAAGGCTGAATCTATAAACTGTGTTTTTCAGGGTAGACCCTGAGATGCTTCACTAGAGCTAGGTCTGCTTGTGACCGAGAGTTCCAAGCACAGCATGACTTGGATCCACGGAAATGTGCTACAGGTTCATCCATGGAGGAACATGCATTTGAGAGGCTTTTTGTTTATTTGCTTTTGCATTTTTCACCCAATGATAATATGGTACCCACATATCTTTGGCAAGTATCCCTTAGCTCTGCAGCTTAATATGTGTCAAGAGCTGATGGAGATGTCATCATAAATGATATAGCAGTATCATTGTGAGAAGAACAAGAAACGTGGCTTTAATGGTAGCTAGCTCACACTTTGATGAGAACCTATAGCCTTGGCCTCCATAGTTCCTGCCTAATCAGCTGACCAAGCAAACCAGCATGCTGATGTTCAAACACTAGTGGTACCTTTCCTAACTGGCATAACAGACATGATAGCCAGGTCAGTTCACTAAATATCCTCCTAGTGGACTCTACTGGGCAAAGAGCCACTCCATTTCCAGGAAAGGCCTTCTCTTTCTTATTTTCAAGGAAACATTACTGAAGGGTCCATCCCAACTGGGAAAGTAGGAGGCTGTAGTCATTAAATAGCATAACATACTGAAGGATTTCTTTTCTCTCATATCTATGATCTAAAGAAGAGAATGACAAGGTGCTTTGTTCTTAGAATCTTGGTCTCCACTGTAGAATGCAAGCAGTGGCATTTTGTAGATCTACAGTATTCGGTCAAGTATGCACTCCAAACTGTAAGAAGCAGGAAAAAACTGCAAACTATTTATAATTAAGCAAAGCAAAGTGAGGCATTATGCCTGTCCTGACACTCTTTGGCCATGAAGACTTCTTCAAGACCCACTTAACTCATGATTAAAATGGGAATATTGCCCCTGCCTACCAGAGTTATAAAGTTCAAGTCAGATAACAGATGCATACATAATAAATTATTAATATACATACAATGTTATTTTTTCACATTCCCAGGAAAAACCTCAGGGGAAGGCAAAAGTATATGGTATTTACACCTTGTACTTACTTTAGACCTTCTGCACAACTTGAATAAATCTTATTTCATCGACATATTGAGTAAACCTAAGCTCTACTGATTTCCCAACATAACTGTCAAAATTCCTAAAAGCGGTTAATACCAACTATAAATAGGCCAAGAAAAAGGACACAATTTTTAAAAAACTACATTATAACCATATATATCATAGACACATGCCACTGCATTAATGAGGTTATGGTCTTCATTTAAAGAATCATTAAAAACTCACAGAGAAGAAAATTTACAAAATATTTAAGTGGGAGGAGCCATTTTTAATTTACCTTTGATTACTGTGTTACTACCAACCCCTCATTTCCTCCAACATCTTTTCTGTAAAAAAAAAATCATTTATTTATTTTGAGAGAGAGAGACTGAAGAGGGTAGGGCAGAGAGAGGGAGAGAGAGAATCCCAAGCAGGCTCCATGCTGTCAGCACTGAGCCCGAGGTGGGGCTCCAACTCCCGAACCCACAAGATCATGACCTGAGCTGAAATCAAGAGTCAGACACTTAGCTGAATGAGACACCCAGGTGCCCTTCCAATGTCTTTTAAGGATTAAAGTATCCTTCTGAGCAAGAAGGACCACTTGCTGTCAGCAAGTCACTTAAACAAACAAGAAAACAAAAAATGAAAACAAATGATCTTTTGGAAACAAGTAATCACCCTCCCAAATCTATTGTTTCATGGAAACTGGGAGACTGTTGAAACATTTTAGGTACTAAGAAAGCACAAGAATGAGAGAGAGATAGTGTGGTCTAGTGGCTAAGAGCCTAGGCTCAGAGTTGGACAAACCTGCCTTAGAATCAACATTGCCACTACCACCTGTGGACCTGAAGGCTCCTTGCCTTTACTGAGCCTCTGGTCCCCTATGTTTCTAGAGGAACTGTGCATCAGCCTCACAGAGGCATGGTGTGCATTAGACAACACCATGCATGTGAAGTGCTCAGCACAGTTGGTGTGACAAATGTAACCACATAGGATGTTTCAAAGAAAGCATGAGACAGATAGCCCTTGGAAAGCCAAATTCTGTGCCTGGCCTGGAAAGCCATTATTACCAGCTTCACTTGCTGGCAAGTATTGGGATAATAATTTCTAAAGAATGGAAGAGAGAGAGAAAAAATTCCTGTCAGAGAGGTGGACTGTACACATTAATCATCAAGATTTTCAATAAAATGAATATTTGGTGTGTATCAATTACATAATTTTTAATCGAAACTAAGATTGTTAAATGTATTGGTGGTATTAACCAGAGTTCTGATTTTAAAAGAGCATTTTATGACACTTTAAATAACTACCTGTGCTACATTTTAACCCCATGTTCATTATTTACCATGTGTACAACAGAACACATTTTGGAATATTGAATTGTTAGTTACAGAATTTGCCAATTTTATGCCTTGATACCATGTAAATTTTACTCGGCAAATAATGCCTTTTCTCTTCCATTAATAAATAAAATTTTGTATCTCAACTCTTGAAGATTTTTGCAATTCAGATTTTTATCAGCCAGTGTAATGGAGAGAAAAAAGTAACTTTTGATCTACTAAAGGAAGAACCCATATGTCCTCATCCATATTATAATCTAGATATAATCATGGATGGAGATGAGAGAGAGAAAGAGAAGGAAGCAGAGGGGCGTAGAGACAGAGACAGAGATAGAGATAGAGATAGAGATAGAGAATTTGCCATAATGGAGCTTTGATCTTGTCTTTTTTCCCTGCCGTGGGATAACCTTACACAGATCTTATCTAATTACCAAATATATATTACTTTTTACCTGACGCAGTAAATAATCATTGACTACAATTATTGGCAGCTGGATTTTGTAACCAATTATTTTTCCTCCTTTCTTTTCCAGGTGAAAAAAAAAAAAAAAGCAAGTGTATAAAGGGAAGGTAGTAAGAGACATTTCCTCAAATTTGCATCACGATGGAAACCTTTTGCCTCAAGGTGTCCTTCTGGGTAGCGCTGGTTGGATGTGTGATCAGTGATAATCCTGAAAGCTACAACACAAACCTAAGTACTCCAGTGGATGATTTCACCACTTTTCGTGGGACAGAGCTCAGCTTCCTCGTTACCACTCATCGACCCACTAATTTGGCCCTACCTAGCAATGGCTCAATGCACAGCTATTGCCCACAGCAGACTAAGATTACTTCAGCTTTCAAATACATTAACACTGTGATATCTTGTACTATTTTCATCGTGGGAATGGTGGGGAACGCAACTCTGCTCAGGATCATTTACCAGAACAAGTGTATGAGGAATGGCCCCAACGCGCTGATAGCCAGCCTTGCCCTTGGAGACCTTATCTATGTGGTCATTGATCTCCCTATCAATGTGTTTAAGGTAGGAAGTAACCACAACTATATTTGCAGGTTTGAACATACGTTCTGATTCCACAGTAAGAGAGTTGCTGCAGACCTTTGGAGTTTTAGTCTGTGTTTTTACGGAGAGTGATTTCTGCAGCCTTCAACTTTGGTGGCCTTTAACATTTTTATTATTTGTTAAATGTTACATTTATTTGCTAACTTAATTGTTCACAAAATCGCGTTTTGGGGAAGACTATTCAAAGTCACGGTCTTTAATGAAGCAGATTCTCATGCCAGCCCTGAGCTTGCTGAGTGGATGGGCAATCTTGGGAAGAAACTGGATTTTTCTGAGACTCAGTTTTCAGGGTGAGATCTATTGAGCCCAAAAGATACTTAAAATAAGTATTTCTTCAGTTTCTGTAACCTTTTTAATGTGATGCCATTCAGTGGCCAGATAGCCAGGGTACATGTTGAAATGAAAGTACCTGTTTTATTTTGATGATCTGGATTGATGATGGAAGCCAAAGGGTACGCTGGCTTTTCTCAGTTGTCTCGGTGACTTGGAGATAGTGAGGTCCACGTGATCTCAGCTCAGTGTTGACCTTGTTGAACAGTGTCACTAAAGCCATTTAAAATAGGCCTCAGTTTACTGTTGCCTTCTTCATTTCTTCAGTTTACAGAGTTTTTATTTGTGGAGTACCCACTATGTGCCTGCCCCTGAGCTAGGCAATAAGGATCCCAAGACAAATATGACAAAAGTGATGCCTCAGTGGGAGGGGAAGATAACTCACCCACTGTCACTGTGATCATCTTGCTTTAGGGACTGGTTAGTACCAAAACAAAGTAAAGCCCAAAGGAATTAGATGTTTCGTATTTGGTCTAGTGGTTGTGAGGGGAAAATGGCTGCAAGAATTCAAGTGAACTAAAATTCAAGTAAAATTACGTGGTCTATGCCAGATGTTATGGAATGTCTTTATTCTAAACCCAGGAAAAGTACTTTCCTCAGCCTTTCTTTTTTTTTTCTTCTATGTCTTATCCATAAAAACAAAACTATTCTGAGCAATAATATTCTGAAATATGACTTTAAGTAGCAAGTTTTGTTTGAAGACATGATAAATTTTAACTAAGAGTCTCTCGGTTTCCAATAAATACACTTAAACTATGGCAAAACTATGCTCGCCTACCAGGAAAAGCGGTGATACAATGAAGTGCTGACAGTAAAGATGAAAACAATGATTACAGTCTCGAACGTTACAAATAAAAAGCATTTCAAAAGTACTCAAGTATATTGTTGGCAAAATAGGAGAAATTAGACAACAAATGATAAAAAAAATTATATGCCATCTCTTTTCACAGAATGGCATGAAAACATATGTTTTCTACTTGAACTTGAAATGGGATTTTAGAACTGAACTTTGATGCAAAACTGAAAATGCATAATTAACTTAAAATGTTTAGCACATGCTATAGAACTTAAATTTTTTTAAAGGTTATTAATTTTCTCTTTATGAAATAATGTGTGTGAACACGAGGCTTTCTCATGACATCTTTCTTTAATAGATTTAAAGTATTTATATGACTCTTATTCAAAATTTTACTCTAGTAGTTATGTTGTAGAGTATTAAACATTGATTATTCATACTTATATACTTGTTAACCAACCCATCATGCCTCAGAAGAATAATTAACTATCTCTGAATTAATTATTCCCATTTGACCATTTGCAAAGAACATTTTTGGAAAACCAATATTTGCGACTGCTGGAAAAGACACTCGCTTATCTCTTTGAGGTGCTACCTGCCAGTCACTAGACTAAACATCATTTCTAGTCCAGACCAACACACGAAGCCAGACCGTCTGGACTATCCCCAGTTGGTGAAAATTCAAATAAAACTTGGTTTTACATTCATATAACAATGGATAATAATTTACACATCCTCATTTGACCAAATGGTTCTTCCTTTTGGGACTCTAATACTTTATATCCTTTATTGTAGTTCTATACAATGTAGACAGTTTGACAGGCTTTTACATCGCAGGGGTACATTTGTGTAATTACTGTTTTTCTAAAACTCACATAATGAGACATTTAACCAACATTAATTTTAGAAAGTAAACCTTTTGGGTTAAAAAAATACATACATGCTTTAGTTATTTCAATCTTCTTCCAGAGGAAAAGAAGAAAACATTTAAGCTAAAAAGCCTCCCAGTATTTAGGGGTTATTTCTACCTCATTCTGTCAGTCATCTTCTCTGAGTTGGGAGACGAGAAGATGTAGTTTCCCTGATATCTGCCCAGGAGAGTCCAGAGAAATCCTTCCTAGTGATGTGAGCTCTGGGCCTTCCTGCCTTTGGTCTGCAGCTGCCTCCTGCTGTAAGAGTCTGATGCTTTGAAGTCTCACCTATCAGACCTGTGGACTCCTCTGACCATGGCATATGCTGCAAGGTGAAGCAGCAGCTGTCCATCTCCCTTTACCATGGTGTTTAGTGCCAAGTGGCTCTCGATCTGTGAGCATGGAAGAGGGGGTCCCTCCACATCTGATTTCCAAAAGTTTCCTAATCAATCTCCCTATCTTCAGGGTTTCTTTTCTCCAGCCTATACTGGTCTTCACTTCTACTTACCGAGTGTCATTTTAATAAAAATCACCCAGGAGCTTCCATGTTTAGTAGTCGAGGTCCTCTCCACTCTGACCATACTTTACCTACTTCCTACCAGCTGCCAATGTGCAGGCACAGCTCTTGTCAAAATGTCATCACTGCACCTAACTAAATAACATTCTCAGAGGGGCGCCTGGGTGGCTCAGTCCATTAAGTGTCTGACTCAGTTTCGGCTCAGGTCATGACCTTATGTCTCATGAGATTGAGCACTGCGTTGGGCTCCAGGCTGACAGCGGGGAGCCTGCTTGGGATTCTCTCTTTTGCTCTCTCTCTCTCTCTCTGTCCCTCTCCTACTCATGCTTTCTCTCTCTCTCTCAAAATTAATAAACATTTAAAAAAATAATAACATTCTCAGAGAGGCTAGGTCTAGTCACTGAAGGACTGCTACTGAGGCATTAACAGATCCTAAATTGAAAAATAAGTCCAAAGTTACATGTGTTGCATAAAGAAGAAATAAGCCAAAAAGTGGAGAGAGTCTCCTCTGGCCCTAGCTTGTACTCTCACACACACAGACACACTACCTGGTGATAAAATCAGACAATCTGAGACAATAAAATCCAAAGCAGAAGGAACCAAAGGAAGCAAATAAATGCCAGTTACTTTCTTGGTTTTCAAGCATGCAAGGGCCTTGCAAATGGCAATGTTGGGGAAAAGTTGTTACTAACGTTATCAAAGGATTACTCTAATTCTTAATTATGCAAAAAGCATAATATCACTAATTATAAGAGAAGACTGACCAAAACAGGAGAGAGGAAGGGAAAAGAGTTACCGACCCTTTCAAATACTCATGCTTGTCACCTAAACTGATGATGGATTTTATGTGTGAGGAAATTACATTATCTGATATCCTGAATTTTCAAGAAATGCACAAATTTAGCCAGTACATTGATCTGTGTATAAATTGTTTACATCCATTACAATGACAAAGCAATTAAAACCTTGTATCTTAGGGATACAAATAACCCCCAACTACTAAATGCCAATATAGGTTAGGACAGCAGAATCTAATAATTGTACTCTTTAATGATTCTTGAGATTATGTTAATGCCATAGAGTGCCATCTATAGGGAGATGGGTTATAATTTTGAATAGAGGGGAACCTCTAAAAGTGATGTTTATGCATGGGTAACCAGCCAAAGCTTGGCATCATGTGCTTTCAGGATAACAGCTCACCCATGTTTGCACACAGATATGCCCATAAAACACTGTAGCTCAGCCCCTTTAGTAGAAACAGGAATGTGGGGAAATATGTGTATGAGAGAAGTAGATTGCAAAGGATTAAAATGGTGGCCAAGGGAAGAAGTGGAGTCCAATGACTTAGCATAGAAATCTGTCACACGCAGAGCTGGGCATTGAAACTAGTGATGTCATAGATGATACTGTAGGTGAATAGCGTCTCTTTTTAGCATGTAGGGTAAAGCAGGTTTGTGAGAAGAAGCTAACCAGCAAGTGGCAGAATCTAGTAACTGATTGTTTGTTACTAATTTGGACCACTCTAAGCATCCACCTCTTATTGAGGACAACAATGAAAAATAAACAGATATAATTCTGTTTGAAATTATCAGAAATATTTTGCAATGGAAAGTCAAGACTCAATATGTTGCTCTGGCAGAGGATCTGAGCAATGTGGAAACCAGAGACGTTTGCTTGGAGCCAGTTATCTGCATGTTCACACAGCCTTTGACATCTTGTGCAACTGGAATCCATTCTGTTGTTGGGGCAGCCATACCAAAGTTGTCTCCTGACACATCAAATCACCAAGGCAACTTTTGCCTAAAAAATAAATCACCACAACTTATAGATTGTGTGTCTCAAACATAGTAGTCATTCAGTAAGTGCTTTTTGGTATAACTTGATTTGTTCAGGGTCTTTACTGTTAAAATTGACTTCTTATCAGATTTCTCTGAGATCTTCCAGTTTAAATACTGATGGTACTGATGATTATGATGACAATTTGTTAGAGGGAATCTTCATTTATGTACAAGACACAGGAAATTATCTGTGGTCTACGCATCTTATTCCCCCAAATTGATCAAATTACCCACCAGATTATTGCCTATGTGATAATGATGGTGTCTCCCTTTTACTTAGCATCAAGCAAATAAAAACATATCCTTCTTATGTACTCCAGTAATAGTACTATAACCATAAAATTAGGGATAAAAACTATATTCCCTGAATTTTGATAAAGAAAAGTGTGTCCTTTGGCCAAGATCTCTGCCCCTTGTTGGTGCATTGCAGCTAAATGTTTCCTATGGGGTAGCTCTGCCTCTGCCTTCCCTCCTGGGCCTCTCTCTGTACACATTCCTCTACCTCCCTTTCCTGGAGCTAACCTGGCCTGTCTGAGAATACCAAGATGGTCTCTCTACCTGGCAGATTT